AGTTGGTTTTGCCTTAGGAATGGCTGAAAATATTGTTGTTGCCGATTGTTTAACGATTTATAATAAGAAATTCGATATACTGTAACAATCTGTATATCGCATTTCACATTATTATTGTTGATTATTTATTATTAATATATATTACTATTGTTTATTGACAAATTAAGCCGAAAATGTATACTTTTTCATTCGGTAAGCATATTTTAATGTAGTTTTTATTAGGTTAGCTTAAAAATTTTAAAGAATAAAATTATATATCAAATTTTTCACAATTTAAAAATTTCAAAAAAATGGGTAAAAGTTTGTGGGACTAACAAAAATTTCAAAAAATATTATTATTATTATTTTAGTTTTTTTATTACCTTAACAAATTTAAATATTTAATTTAACATTTTAAAATATTAAAATTTTTGTAAATTTTTTCCTTTTTAAGTATGTAACCCCTTATGAAATTTAAAAAAAAATGTGTAAAATTGTTGTTCTCTTCCAACATGGCTAAATCAATTCGGCTGTTGATGCTGATCTAGAATATATTTGATTTAAAGGTTGGAAAATGACTTAGTTTTTGGCTTCTGGCTTAAAATAAAATATAAAAATATAAAAAATATCAAATAATACCCTGAAAAAGCATAATAAATGTATTACAAATCTGTAAAAATAACTTTAAAATAAAAAAGCATATATATAAATTAAATACTAATAAAATAACCTATTTAACTTGATATTTGAAAATCATTTTGCATAATAAAACCAGCTGAAATCACAGCTCTATATCTGCTCTCTGCCAAAAAGCCTTCCATGTAAATTCCAATTTTTGTCAAGTACATTCCCCATATTAATTTTTACAATCAGGCTAAAGCACTGCCAATTAGCCAGGCCGAGACCGAGACCAACAACGACACAAAATGTAATGGAATGCAATGAGATACCGCGGTTATTATCGGCCTGGAAATGCAACGAAATTCGCTGATGATTTGGACAAAAATATTGTGTAAATTTTGTGGAAAAACATGCGCCATTAACATAATTATAATTAGGCCTGACAAGCGAATTAAATTCAATTTTCATTATTTTTAATGAAGAATGCGGCTGCAAAAAAACAAAAAAAAGAGCGGAAATGCAAACGGCATGTCCTGGCCCAGGGGGAGGTGGTAAAGGGGTATGGTGGGTAGTAGGTATTGTCGTGGAAAACACGACCACATCAACATATTTATCGCATTTGGCCCGCTCGTGTCTTGTTGCATATGTTTGGGCGTTCATGCGTGAGCCCGATTTGCATATTAAACGCCAAACACGACGATAACGATGATAAATCGAACGGAGACAGGCGGCGGGTCAGGGGGAGGGAGAGTTAGGAGTTTCAGGGAAACTGCGATGCAGGGGAAATATCCGAGCTTTTTCAGATCAAAGCAATCCTTCTTTAAGCTGGAAAGAGTATCTATGAAGTGCCTAATGTTGAGTATTGATGTAAGGTCCTTCCTCACTTCCCAAGTTCATATAATAGAGTTCTTTGTTAAGTTTTTATATTTTCAGTTTTTATTGATTTCATGCGGGGCAGCAGTGGTGGTGCCGCTCCAGCGATTGGATCGTCTCTGAATTTAACAATATTCCCTAAGTTTTAATTTAGGCTAAGTCTCGTAGCTGCGCTGCTCGCAGGCGGCGGCAGAGAGACGGCTGTGTAGATAAATACTTATGTATAAAGGAATGTACTTATGTACATTGCCTATGCGCTCTTAAGTAGAGACGCGAGGGGTATGCATATGCTGTCCGTTCGTTACAATTATGCCGACGCTAGCACTTTCTGTGTGCCGGCTAAGCCATAGCGATCGGTTCATATTTCGGCCACTTATGGGTTATAACCAGGACATTGAAATATGTAAACACTGCAACAAAGTGTTACAGTGCGCACCCTTTAAGTACTCTTGGTACAGTGGGTATTCAATATATGTGCATACTACAGTATATTTTATGGTTTTCCACAAAAATCTCTGGAGTTTTGAAATCTCTTAAAAATACATGGGAAACTATGCCACAAAATGTTAAATGTTAAGAAAATTGTAATTTAAATGAGTTTATGTGGTAAAAAATTAAATAAAAATTTTATTAACATTAATTAGACATAAAAAATTAAATAAAAATTGTATTAAAATTAATTAGTCATAAAAAAAATTAAATAAAAATTGTATACTATAACAAGTATTAAACATTACTTAATATTAATATATAATATTATTAAAACTTGTTTATAAATGAATTAAAGTTTTCTTTTTTAACTTAAAACAAAATTTATACAAAATATTTATATACATATATTTATACCCTTGCAGGGTATTTTAATTTCAGTCAGAAGTTTGCAACGCAGTGAAGGAGACCTTTCCGACCCCATAAACCATATATATTCTTGATCAGCATTAACACTCGAATCTTTCTAGACATGTCCGGAAGAAATTGATTTTTTTGCTATTTTTGCAAAATTTTATAAGGGGTTACATCATTAAAATTTTTCATTTTGATAAAAAATTGAATTTTTAAAATTTTTAAATGAAGTATGCAGATTTATTAACTGTAGAAAATCTTGCACAGAACAGTTTTCCGATTTAAAATTAATGCTCTTTTGGCCGAGTTATGATATTTTTAATTTAAAAAAAAAATCAAGAAGTTTTTTAATATAAAAAATCGATTTTATAATACAAAATAATATTTTTCTAAGTGAAGGAATCATTTCCGACCCCAGAAACCATATATATTCTTGATCAGCATTGAAAGGAGAATCGTTTAAGCCATGTTTGGAGGAAATCAAATTTTGAGCTATTTTTGTGAAATTTGATAAGGGGTTACATCATTAAAATTCGCAAAAATTGACCAAAATTTTGATTTCTTAAAATTTTTAATTTGGTATGCAGTTTTTTTAAATTACTAAAAACTAACACAAAACTGCTTTCCGAATCGAAATTAATGCATTTTTGGCTTAGTTATGATATATTTTAATTGTTACCTGCAAGGGTATACAAACTTTGGCTGGCCAAAGTTAGCTTTATTTCTTGTTTTTCTTTATTTTCTGTATCTCGGAAATTTTACAATATTTATGTTTAAAAAAAATTTCCAAAAATACTTTAAACTTTACTTAATAACTGATAAAAGATTGAAATACCCAAGTCATAAGCGCTTTTTAGGGAAATTTTTAGAAAAATTGTCCAAAAAACAACCTTTCATATGGATTAACTACCTTAATTGCATTTATTTAATTGTAAATTAATTTTTACAAATATTTGTAATTATTTAACCAAGGAATTTAAAGTCACCAGACAATTCTGAAATATAAATAAATAATTAGAAATTTATTTAAAATTTGTAAATTTATTTTACAATTATTTGTAGTTATTTTACTAAGAAATTGTAAGTTCCCAGACATTCCTGCATATTTTATTCAGCTTAAGCACTCATCATGGCATAAAAAAAAATCTAGTTTTGTGGGCTTGGTTTTCTCCCCTTCCCACAATTTGTTTACAAATTTAAGTATATTTGATTGCAAGTCCCCCGGTCATCTCATCAATATTTGCAGCCACTTCATCAGCAAGATGAAGACTGTTGCAACCCAAGGCCAGAAACCGTGTTGGACATGCACTTACTCACATATTGCCAAGATCTAGGAATAATATTTGGCAAAGAAATCATTACAGAATGCATTACAGACATTCGTGATTGCAAATGCCTGTGTTTTATGCTAACGATTACAATGCCAGAAAACGTAAACAAATGTCAGTCGACAGCGAGAAAGTTGCCAAATGGCTTTTAGCTTTTAGTTTTTAGTTTTTTGTAGTTTTGGGTTTTGGGAAATACAACCTCCTCTCTCCGCTTAATTAAGCAACACGATGAGTGGCCGTCTTCCACGGGATTTGCATAATTAACCCATCTAAAGTGTCTTGACGATTTGGTGCACGAAAGTGATTCCAGTGCGAAAAACAAAAAGTCAGAAATGGCAAAGGTAGCAAAAGGTAGCGAAAATTATAGCAAAAACCGGTCTCTAGACAAATCAAAAATCACACCTGGGACACCACCTGTTGAGCGGGAGGTGGGAGGGATTGCATGATTGGGTCACCGGTCTCCAGTCTCCGGTCACCTATGTTTTTTCACAGCTTGTGGATTAGTGTTGTCCAGCATCTAGCTTTTTGGGAGGTTCCAAAATTAGAGAAAATATATTTTAATATATAATAAATATTTAATTAGTCTTATAATTTTAATTTTTCTTTAATAAAAAAATTCCAAAATTAAAGAAAGTAATTATTTTTTATATTACTATTTATTTTTCTTTAATAACAAATTTTATTTATATAAAAAAATCCTTCTTGAGGCAATTTAGATGTTTCAAAATTATTTTTATGTCTTAACAATTATTATAAAAATCTTAAATAATTTAATAAAAAATATAAAAAATTAATTAGTAATACATCGCAATTAATTCCTATTTCAAATTATTTTTAAAATTTTTTATTTAATTTATAAAGATTTTAAAAATATATTTTTGCTTATTTTTCAAAGTTTGAGCTGAAAATCCCAAGGAAACCCCTTAAAAATAGATTAAAAAATTCCAATTTCTAGCAATTCCTTGAATAAAAACTAACCTTAATGTTTTATAATAATATTAGCTTTATAAGAAATATTTATATATATTTTTTTCTTACCTTAGTCATAGTTCTCACCACTGATCTTCACTCTAGCCCAGAAGGCAGCCTCTAAAAGCCTCGAGACAAATGACAAATGGGCACCCAATGAGTTGGGGAAAAAGCGGTGCATCTGGTTGGGGCTACTGGTCATGCCGCTGGCTGTTACATATGCCGACCCGGGTCAGCCGATGTCACCTTTCCAATTGGTGGGCAGACGACCTCGCTGCGAGGCGCTTGAGGTGGGGGCGAGCATTTCTCTGCGCTGCGCCGTGACCCACATTCGAGGCATATAAATAGTAGCCGCAGGGCATGGCTTACCCATCAGTTTCCGAGCTCAGCTCCCCAATCCCACTTCGTCCAGCGTCAAGCGCCAATTCCCAATCAAGCTCAGCCGACAACAAGATGAAGGTGAGTCCAGAAGGACAGCAGAGTTCCTATTAGAATGGATCCTAATTCAGGCTTTTTTCCTTCAGGTTTTCGTCTGCCTGATTGCCTGTTTCAGCCTGGCCCACTGTGGCTTCATCGGAGGCGGTGGTGGTGGCGGTGGCTGGTCCTCTGGAGGAGGCGGCGGTGGCTGGTCTTCCGGAGGCGGCGGCGGTGGCTGGTCTTCCGGAGGCGGCGGCGGTGGTGGCTGGTCCTCTGGAGGAGGCGGCGGCGGTGGCTGGTCCTCTGGCGGTTCAGGCGGTGCCCCCACCATAGTCAAGGTCATCAGCGAGGATGCTGGCCACGGTCATGGCGGTCATGGTGGATACGGACATGGCCCTGCCCCCGAAGAGCTAAAGATCATCAAGGTGATCAGCGAGGGCGGCCACTCCCATGGCCATCACGATCATGGTCATGGCCACAGTCACGGCGCCGAGGTGAAGATCATCAAGGTTATCCAGGAGGAAGATCACGGACACGGTCATGGTCACAGCCATGGTCATGGTCATGGCTATGACTACTCCAGCGGTGGCCACCAGGCCGAGGAAGTGAAGATCATCAAGCTGATCAGCACGGGAGTCACCGATGGCGGCTACTCTTCCGGCGGTGGCTGGTCTTCCGGTGGCTCTGGAGGTGGTTGGTCCTCTGGGGGATCCAGCGGTGGCTGGTCTTCCGGCGGTGGCTGGTCCTCGGGTGGCTCCGGCTGGAACTAGAGGCAATCCAAAGCGCTGACGTCAGCTCCTTGTTCCTGTTGTCAGAGTTGTCCAGCGTTATTGGCCTTTTGCGATGTTACGAAGTTACTATAATTTTAAGATGCTGCACGTTTTTTGTGTATTTTTTTTTTTGTATTATTTTGTTGCCAATAGTTTACCAAATATAAAAAAAACAGAAAACAAAATAAGTGTTGAACGATTCTTTGTCTAATGGACGGAAAGCCCCCGAAATAAGTGAATACTCATGTTCGGGGATTTTCGAGAGGAGAGACCATCTCGGTTTCGCTTTCCACTTAACCCATTTTGCGACAATTTCGAACACACTCGAGACACTCGAACGATTGAATGATTCAAATTGCATAATAATAGTATTCAAAAACGAGTTTGTCACCTGAGAAGTGACTTGGGGAAAGTCGAAGATATAAGAGTAAGGCCATAAATAAAATATAAAAAAATTATTTCAGGCATTAAAAGGGGTTTAATTAAACATTATAAATATATTTGGGGTGAAGTCTTAATGTATTATTAAATTAAAATTAAAATAAAATAAAAAGAGCTTCAATTTAACATTATAAATATTTTAGGGGTAAAGTCTTGCTTAATTTCTTTAATTAAATTAAATATATAATATAAAAAGATCTTAAATGTAACATTAAAAATATATTTGGGGTAAAGTCTAGCTCAATTATTAATTTAAAATAAATAAATAAAATAAAATAAAATATAAAGAACTTCAATTTATATTTATAAATATTTTAGGGGTAAAGTCTTACCTAATTTATTTAATTAAATTAAATATATAATATAAAAAGAGCTTCAATTTAAATTTATAAATATATTTGGGGTAAAGTCTTGCTTAATTTATTAAATTAAAATAGGTAACGCCATGGGTTAAGCCCAAGGTCGCTTCGTGTTAAGCATCTTGGCAGCATCAAGGGATAGTAATCATTATTGTCTGGTAATTATGTATGTTCATTCTGAGCCCAGCTGTGAGACAAGTATTTCCCCCAAAATCCGTGGATATAATTGCGGATGCGAGACCGTTTTGTTACGAATTTCCATCATTATTTATTTATTGTATATTTTTTTGATGATGCCGTAACACGTTTTTAAGACCGCTTCAAATCTGGTTTCTTGGTTTCTTTGTTTTTATCCGGAGATTCGTCGGGGAGCATGAATATTTTTGGTGGCTTAATTTTATGAATCTGACTAATTAAGATTGCCTGCATCGGTCTTTGCAGCCCATAGATATATCCCTCGGATGTCAAACATAACTCAAACTCTGACTCTAATCACCACCGAAAGGTTACATTAATTTATACACATAATGTATTGGCTTGTAATTAATTATATGTAACGAATGTCTGCCAAGAGATTCGTGTAAAAGAGTCTATTTTTTGTAGTTTTTTGTTGTATTATTGGTTTAAAAATATTAAAGAGCCATTTAATGATCCCAGACACCGTTAAATAATCACTAATTGTATGTAATATGATGTACATTTCAACTGAAGCTCATTAAAGGTAATTGTTTTGGAAAAGATCAGATGATGATGGTGCAGACCTTGGCATTATCTTGGGAAGAAACGAAAGGAAAATGTTTTTATATATATTTAAAACAAAAAAATCATATAAAATGATTTTTAAATTAAATTACAAAGAATATGAAAAGAAAAATGCATTTAAAATATTTTAAAAATCAAAAATGGTTTAAAAACAGTATCTATAAATTTTAGAAATACTTTATAATATTTAAAAATATATAAAAAATATAATATTCATTATTTTCATACCAAGAATATATTTTAAACTATTTCAAAATCCCTTAAAAAACTAGCTCAAACAATCTTCTAGATATTTTTATCCCCAAATCTGGCACTTTTTATGCCTTCAGCCATTCCCCTCGGTTACGAAATCAGTTTTAAACGGCGGAAAAACTTATGGCTCATCCATCAGATCGAGAAGTGAAGGTTGGAGCTGGAGCTGAAGCTGGAGCTACAAATCGGGCTCGGATCGCGGGCAATTAATAAGCATTCTGTTTGACCCATCGGCCAAGAGTTAATGGCAACGAATCAATCGAGTTGGAAATCGAAAATGTGTTGGGTACAGTGATGGTCAAGTAGTGGGAGATTTTTTATAACAAGATTATTATTAAAAGTACCAAGAAATAAGTCTTGGAAATGTTAAAAGAGAGAGAGCTTCATTTAAGCCAAGATTTAAGGCCAGAAAATACACATTTAAGAGGTCTTAGAAGACCTTAGAAGACCTTAGAAGACTTTAAAAGACTTAGAAGACCTTAGAAGACCTTAAAAGAGCTTAGAAGACCTTAGAAGACCTTAGAAGACCTTAGAAGACCTTAGAAGACCTTAAAAGAGCTTAGAAGACCTTAGAAGACCTTAAAAGACCTTAAAAGAGTTTAGAAGACCTTAGAAGACCTTCTTTAGTTGCTTAAAAAACAAGACTTTTTTAGTAAATTTAATTAGCTAAATGTTTGCCTCTAAAGTTTTATATTTTATACAATGTTTTGCAATTATTTTTGCCATAATTTAGTACTTAATTTTAAAGCCTTCACTTAGTCAAGGTAATTAGCAAGCTGACAGCAAGATAAACTATCTCTACGTAAGTTTTTTTTTAAAAAAAAAACATAGAAAAACTTGTATAATTTATTAATTTAAATACTACAAAATTCAAAAAACTTTTTGTTAAATTAAAAAAAAAGGTAAGTACTTACCTTCTTAGGTACAATATGCATCCCATCACTGGTCGGCCCCACCGATCGCTACCTGTTTATTGGATCACGCTGCGGGCTGCCTTTGTTTATTATTTTTTGCAACTTTGTGTCGATTTGGATGAATTGCATAACGAGCTTAAAAAAAAACCAAAAAAAACACTAAACACTCTGAGCTATCAAACGGTTTCAACAAGTGCAACCTGCCGGGAAAGAAGGGATGCCTGTTGCAACACAGCAAATAATGGCCACAAAAGTGGCCAACTTTGTGGGAGTACAGAGAGTCCAGTTAGGGGGGGGCCCTGGGCGGGGTCAGGGCCATTGCACCTTTTGATGACCTCTCAAGTCTGCGGCTGAAAGACGGTAATGATGAGCATCGCGTGGAGCGGCAATTAGTGTCTCATACAGGAGAGGGAACAGTGGGGCAGCGAAAGCAGAAAAATTCAAATAAAAATTAAATTTAAATCAAATTTAAATAATAAAAAATATAACAAAATATATAAATCTATAACAAATATGTAAACACTTCCCTAAACTTATTTTCCATTAAAAATAAAACAGAAAATCATAACTACTTCAACCCACTGTATCTCAACGCCGTTTGGGGCAGGGCAGGGTTAACGCTTAGCTGGTTACCGTCGTGACGGTTTGCTGGCCATAAAAGCCGCTCTCCGTCTATGGCCAGACACAGTCGAAGATCGCCCTTTCAGCCCGACACAGCGGCTGCAGTTCATCCGACATCCGTTGATCATTTAACAGGCCCCTCGACATGAAGGTGCGCCCAGACCTCGCGAATCGTAGCTCTCCTACAAAGAGCTATAGTTAATATTATTTTTTTTAAGTGATTATGTGATTACCAAAAATCCGCCGTATTTTTGCAGGTTTTCGTTTGCTTGCTGGCCGTGTGCAGCATGGCCCAAGCCGGTTTCCTGGGCGGCGGCGGCGGTGGAAGTGCTCTAAGTTCCGGCTGGTCCTCCGGCGGAGGCGGTGGCTATGGTGGAGGCTATAGCGGTGGCCATGGAGGAGGCTATGGTGGAGGTGGCCATGGAGGTGGCTGGTCCTCGGGAGGCGGCTACAACGGCGGCGGCGGCGGCGGTGGCTACGGAGGCGGCGGCACTGTAAAGATCATCAAGGTGATCACTGATTCTGGAGCTGGCGGTGGCTATGGAGGCGGCTATGGCGGTGGCCATGGAGGCGGCTATGGCGGTGGTGGCTACAGCGGTGGCCATGGAGGTGGCTGGTCCTCGGGAGGCGGCTACAGCGGCGGCGGTGGCGGCTATGGAGGCGGCTACAGCGGTGGCCATGGAGCCGGCGGTGGCTATGGAGGCGGTGGCAATGTCAAAATCATCAAGGTTATCTCCGATGCCGGTTCCAGCGGTGGCTATGGCGGTGGCTATGGTGGTGGCCATGGCGGCAGCTCTAGCTACTCCTCCGGCGGCTGGGCTCCTCAGGGTGGCTGGGCTCAGAGCAGCTGGTAAAAGGTCCTTTTGCTGTTTTGTTTATGTTAACAACTAACCACAAAAAACTGTAAATAATTTCGGAAAAAAAATTAACAAATAAAGAGTTAACTATAAAATGGTTTATATATTTTATTATATACATATATTTTTTTCTATATTTTGTTTTTATTTTTATTGCAGAATTTTAACAGTTGTCAGGTGGCTGCTGCTGTTGCTGTTGTTCCCTTTTATTTTTTGTGTTGTGTTAACCCTTCGTTAACCCTGTACGCATGTCGAGCCAGCTGTCCCCCAGCCACACCCACCAAACACGCACACAGACACACATATATACACATATATATATATATATATCTGTATGTGTATTATAGAACTGCGTCCTACGCGCCAGACGCAATTTGTATGCAAATTTCCATGAGAATCTCAACACATGCAATAACAACAACAGCACAAAGGACACAGGACACAGGAGCAGCAGCAGTGGCAACAACAAAAAATTGACTGAGCATGAATGCAGGGGGTGGTGTAGGGTGGGAGGAGGCAGGGGGTTTTGGCAACCAATTGGTTACAAATACATAATAAGAAATGGACATGGATAAAAATCCATTGGGGGGAAGCAACATCCAGGACATTCGAAAGTGAAATGTTAAAAAAAAAAGACTTTAGATATATTCTTTTTTGGTTATTGAGAAGCTCATGAAGAGGCGCACTTTAAGGGTTGGATTTAGGTACAGTTTAGAGGGTTTAAATGGAGGTTGGCAAATATTATAAGGATATAGGATATAGCTACAACTTAGTGGGTTAATCGGAGGTAGGAAAATGTTATCAAAGTTTAGGAGGGGGAAAAGATTAATAATACTTTTTTGCTCTGGAGAAAGCAACAAGAAAATGGGAAAGAGTAATATATAACTCGAAATAAATGATTTAAAAGTCAAATTGTTTACTTCACTTAACATTTATTTAACAAAATATATTTTAAAAAATTTTAAAATCTAGGCAAAGTTAAAGTCGCATAAATAATTTAAAAAAAAATAACAAAGAAATTAATTTAAAAATTTAAATAAATTATTTTTTATTGAAATTATTTATTTTTGTTACAACTTTATAACAAAATGTATAAAAACTCTTTAATTATAAAGAATAAAATATAATAACAAATAACTTAAAAAAATAGCAAAGAAATAATTAAAAAATTTAAATAAAGTATTTTTTATAGTATTTAATTAATTAATCTTTCGAACATTAAAAAATTGTGCATTAAGAAACTTGTAAAAAATTTAAAAATCAAAAAATCTAAACTAACCCAAAGCAACCCAAAGTCCTAGTCTTAAGTAGATACCCTGAGAAGCGCATAGAGAGGCGCTTTTTAACCGGAAGTTCGGATGGCAACCGAATTAGCCAGTTAAATTTGGGGCGTGGCAACCGCATACACACACACACACTCGAACACCTAGGTACAATAATAGCCAAAGTAGCGGGTGTTGGGAATAAAAATAAAAATAAAAATAAAATTAACTTGAATCGTTCGTTTGGCGCCCTCGCACTTAGATAGTGCTACCAGGGGGACTGCAGGGGGGTAGAGTGTGGGGGGAGGGTTTACCAAAGCCACTTTCTATGCAAATTTTTATGTGTTAAATGCATTTTGTTGGATTTAACATTCTCGCTGATTTTTTGGTTTACATTTTTGCATATAAATGAGGGCAAACTTTGCTTTGCTTTGCTTTTGCTTTGCTTTTCACAAGGCCCAAGGAAAAGGGGGCGTGGCCCACACACACACACAAATTAGAGGATTAAGTAGCTTGAGTCCTGCTTCTTCTTGGCAGCCTTGGTATCCTTTTGTCTCTGAAGAAGCCAGAGCTGAAGGCAAAGAAGCAACAGCAGCGGCGAGACAATTACGCTAATTCGCCTGAAATTGTTTTGCATTTTACCAAGCAACCCAACCACCCACTTGTCCTGGCAATGACAATGACTGCTGCATATGTGTGTGTGTGTGTGTGTGTGTGTGAAGGGGGTATCCCCTCCCCCACCGAATCTTTTCATCGCTTGTTTAAACAGTTAAATTTGATTGCGCTGTAAATAAGCGAGGAAATAGAGAAGGACGCAGTCAGTCGAAGAAAACTATGCTTGCAAAGAAGGTGGGAAAAGTGGGTGGTATGGGAGGGGGATGGTGGTAAGAAAGCCCCATTATATCCGCACCAAAGGAAGTTTACTTAATTGTGCAACGATTTCCCTTTTCGCACCAGCCATAAATCGCAGCTCGGTCTGGGTCTTTGGTCTAATTAAAAGATAAGAACACACATCAAAAGAAAAGGGCCACAAGGATGGAAGATCTTCTATCTATATACTATGTATTTCTTAGATGATTTGGTATAGGAAAATAATAATAATAATAATAATAAAAGAATTCAAGATTTTCAAATCTTTGAAAATCATAAACAAAAGTCTGCTATACCTTTAAAGAAGGTTTTAATTGGTAAACTAACTTACTTTAAGGATTTAGCTTTACATTAAATATATATTTATATATTATGATTTATTTTAAGTTATTTTTTTTTAGTTTTCCAAGTTTTCCCAAGAAACCTCTTAGAAAAAATAATACCCAAAAAAATAATCATTATTTTTAGTGCTATTTTTTTACTCAACATAAAACAAATTATTCTTTAAACGATTAAATAAAACTTAAAAATGTATAAATAAAATAAAATTTAAATAAATTAAAATTTAGTAAATAAAAATTCAGATTTTAGAAATTACTGCTTATCTGGAAAGAGCGTTAAAATTGTATAATATATAATTTTTTAATATAGATAATCAACTTTCAGGGTTCCAGATTTTTTTTTATAAATAGAAAATAGTAGAAAAACCCAGAAAACAAAAGCTTAACTTGATCTTAAGGCTTTTAACATTTATAAAAATAGTCTCCAAGCTAAAATAAATATATTAAAATAAATATAAATCATATATGCAAAAATATTAAAACATATAGAATATATACATTATAGAATATATATTTTCTATGATATATTTCAGTCAGTAAATATATAAAAACCCACACAAATCCCACGACCCATTAAATAAATTCCTATTTCCATGCTTTTTGTTTATCGTTTCGCCCGGGGGTTTACCTGTAAAAGCAGCTGGAAAACAAAAAAAAAAGTAAAAACAGCCAAAATAAAAACAAAAAGTTGAGAATGGAAAAACAGGAAAAAGCTGAAAAAAAAGCAGAAAAAACAATTCACTTGCAAGCGAAATATATATATTTTTTGGCCAACATTTTTGCCCACTTTCGACTTTTCCCATAAATAAACATCACAATTATCATAGGTAAACAACAAAATAAATACGCAGGGAAAAGAAGAGCAGCGCCATTGAATTTCCATAGCATTTCCCGGGGTTCCTCTGTTTACATTTTCCCACTCGACGGCAAGGAGGCAGGCAGGCACTAAGAACTGAGAACTGCGAACTGGCAACTCAAACTTTAAGTTTAATTGTTGCTGCTCTCGCAGTTGATTGCTTAAAATTCATAATGATAATAATAATAGTGCGCTCTTCACTAATTGCACCAGCAACAACGCGCCCAAACACTCGAATTGTTCACTTGAGAACGGGGGGAACGGGGTTAACGGGGTGAACGGGGACACTTAAGTCAAAAAGTGGGGGGAAACTTTCCTCTACAGATACGGAAAATTCAAAAGGACGAGGGGATATGCCCATTCACTCACTCATTCATTCGCTCATTCAACCATTTTGCCGCTTGCATTCAGGCAAAATTGTTCCACAAAGATACGAGTAACGAGTGCCGGGAGGAGCAGAGGCAGGACTTGCTCTTCCTGGTAGATCCTAGCTAGTGTCGAGCACTGGCAAAAAATATTGGGAATCTTTTGGGATAAAGTTAAATATTTTTAAATATTTTTAAATATTTTTAAATATTTTTAAATATTTTTAAATATTTTTAAATATTTTTAAATGATTTTAAATATGTTTAAATGTTTTTAAATATTTTAAAATATTTATATATATATTTTAAAATACTTTTTTACATTTTCAAATATTTTGTTATATTTTTATTTGAATATTTGGTAAAGGGGGACATTTTGGGGTAAAATAAATGAGGTTTTGAGTTAGAATTTTGAATGATTTAAATTATTTTTAAGAGCTAGATATATTTAAAATATAAATTTATATATAAATATAACGATTTTAAGGGGTATTTAAGTATTTTATTTAATTTTATGTACTTTACTTTTTTTTATAATTATTTAAAACATTTTTTTAATTTATTTACTTTTTATTTCAAGTTCTTAAAGTACTTCTAAGCTTTTGTTTCTTTATTTAAAAAATTTCCACTGTACCTTATTTCTGGTTCTAATTTTAAAATACCATTTTCTCTCAGTGCCCCTCACACACACACACACTGAGCGAAACAGGGGGACACAAACAGAGCCCCCCAAACACTCCAGCCCCATTCACATTTCGAGTGCACTTCATTGCTGTCGCATCTGCCCAATCCTTGCTGCAAGGACCTTACCCCGACGAAGTCACAGCCGAAGCCGAAGCCAAAGCCGAAGCCTTCCCCACCGTCTCGTCCTTGAAAGCCTGCGAGTCCTTGGCTGCTGCCTGAACGTCGAACGCCTCGGGCGCTGCTTAACTTTAACTTGAACTCTAAAATAACAACCTTCCGTTGTTTTTGGCTTGTTCAGTTTTCGTATAATTTCCTTGCAGGTATTTTCATTGCCCCCTTCTCGTTCGTTTGAGGATCTCCGACGCCCATGACAGCTGAGGAAGGACAATGGCAGGGACATTGACAGCGGTTAAAGCCAGTGAATAACTGACTCGAGTCGAGTCGACTGATGGAGCATATGAATAGCTGCCCATTCATACTATTTGTTGAACTTAAAACTAAACTCATTTTTATTTCTATTCAAGACTCATTAGAAACTGAATTCACTGGCAATCAGCGATTGGGAATCCCTTTTCCAAAGAGTGAATAATTTGCAAAGATTCAGAGCAGCCCAGTAGACAAAAACGTTCGTTATTGATATTGAAAATGATAGTTTTGCGGGTTTCAAGCGGACAAAACGTTCGATTCAGGCTCATAAACGATAATAAAGTTAATCACCT